CTGAAACTTTACCTGATCTAAGTCAATCTAATCATGAACAAAAAACGAGTAAAAAACGAAAAAGATACAAAACTTCTAATCGAATGATTGCTGAAAATCCAATAATTAATTGTTCTGATGAAAATTCTGGCCCAACAACAAGATCACAAAATCAATCAAATCAAATTAACATTTACTTGATTATTGAAATTGGCGCTTACAACTTACCAATTGCCCGTTACCAAGGAAGTAAAGTGTTGGTAAGGAAGTCGATTGACTTTCCGCCATTGTCTTTGTGTGTTAGAAGAAAACGTTTTAAAACGCTTACTAATTGCTCTTCAAGATATTCAATTAATTGTGTTAATCAATTACCAATAATCAATCAATTTTGTCTAATTAAGTTTATCTCCAAAGTCTTACAATCAATTGAGTTTACCTTTGATTCTAAAAGTGCTTATAAATTAAGTGTTAACATTTTACCTTCTTGTTCAATTTTCACCTTGATCTCAATCAACATGACAAGTAACGATAAAATTGACGCTTCAAAGTTAACTACAATTATTGAGAGAATTCCGGATGAACCAATTTCAATCGAACCTAAAAAAGTGACCTTTGAAAATACAAGTGAATCAAGTTGGCCGAATGACAATTCGCCTTCTTATGCAAATGTATTTGGTGAATCATCTTCTCAAGCTCTTTGGGCTAAACTGAAGTTAAAAGATCCATTACCAGTTCAAACTGCTGAAGCTCGTCGCTCAATTGAGTTGGAATCAATAAGAGGCCTTAAAGATAATTCAATTTATCCTCCACCTTCAAGTGACCAAGAAAAGTACAACGACTATTTTCCAGCTCGAAAGCCACCAAATGATTCCGATTATCCTGAATATCTACAAATAGAATTTTTTAATCAAGCGAAAATCGAGATAAAAGTGGAAATTGAAGATGCGAAAAAACTTTACGATATTTATGTTGAATTCGTGAAAGAAAAGTTAAGGCTCAATGCTTTGGATATTGAATTAGATCAAATCAATTTCGATTCTGTTCCAAAAGGTCTCATAAAAGCTCGTATTTACTCTAATCTACGAGAAATCTCATCAATTGTGACATGTAACTTTTGTGAACAAATTTCAATCTCACCTCGATCATGTTCCAAATGTACAAAAATCTATTGTGCTAAGTGTACACTCTGGTTACGAGAAATTACTTCTCAAATTGGTTTGGAAAAACCGACAACATTGGACTCGTTTCTCTGTATTAATTCGAATTGTTTGATATCAACATGTTCTGATGGTTATTGTAAATCAATTATACCAGAAAGAGACGAAATTTTAAATTTCTACAGACAATCTGAATTTTTATGTAATCGAAAATTCTGCAAAGAGAAATGGAAAGTTAACAATTACAGTTTCCACATCGATCGTTGTCGAAAAGGTCCAATCGATTTTACCTTTGACAAAGATTTGACTTTACCATTTCGTGTTGGTCCTGTTAGAAAACAGATATCAGATAAACCAAGAGATCTCGCATCAATGTTACCCTCTCATCTAAAAGTTCAAAACCAACATTAACTCATCAAGAAGTTTGGAAAGAAAAGCTTTAACTTGCTTTTCTAATCAATGCTCGTGAAAATAATCGATGATCCTCATTTAGATCCAGTTTCTATTCGTATTCAAACGAATACAAGATTTAATCATTGGAATAATCGAGCAATGGCTAAAGATCCTACGGAACCAACAGATGAATCTGAACAATTTCTACTCAATATTGGTTTCCTTCATGCGCTTTAAAGCCCAGAGACCCAGCACCTCAACGGTGGCCTACAACTCGCTGTTCATCTGTACCAAGTTATCTACTGAAAGAATCAATTGATTGGTTAAAATGGTCCAAAGGAATCATAGACGATAATGAATCAGTTATATCTGATAGTTCAAGTTATGTGTTGTTTTCTAATGAAATCGATGATCCGCATTCACCATTCATACGAATTAATCCATTTGACAGATTATCACCAAGTGAAACTGAAGAAGTTCAAGAATGGTTGAAATCGCATTTCCCATCATGTGTTAACCCTTATGCTATTTACAAAGTTCCAACACCATCATCAAACCCAAAAACAATTTCTTCTGTTGCTATTAGAAGACAAAAATTAAATAATTCATTCGCTAATCGACCTACTGGAATTATACCACCGATGCTACAAGAACAATTGGATTTTATCCAAAACATTTCAAAAGATCTGACAGATAAAAATCTGATATTTGGAATCGCAAGTTTCAATGTTCGTATCAAGGAAGGTCCAAAGATAAGACCAAGGCCTTGTTGGATCGTATTAGTCGATGGTAACATGGAAATTATTTACGAGACATTCGTAAAATATCATGAAGTTGATTCTCTTGATCATCGTTTCCATGGTCTCACAATGAATGACCTAAAATACGCTCGTAATCTTGGAACAGTGAGATCAAGTACTCAAGTATCTTGTCTGTGCAACTAAAATCATTGGTCATGGATTGATTAATCAATTTCTCAGTCTCGGATTAACAACTTATGAAGTTAATCAACTTTTGTTCAAGTTTCGAGAAGTAACTAATTACTATTCACCTTATAATGAACATCCAATGTCAATGCATTTCATTGCATTCCTATGGTTTACTGGTTACACTTTACCTGCAGATCCTCACTCACCTGTAGTCGAAGCAATTACTGCTATTCGATTGTATATGTTACAATGGAGAAATTGAATATATATGGCTGATGTTCTGGACGGAATGCATCATAAAAATGTCGTATTGACTTGTGGAAATTCAATTACAAGTGCTTTGTTATTTGACTTCGATAAAGGAGTAAAAGAAGGACGATTATCTTGGCCGACCGAATGGATGAGGAAATTGAAATTTCCAGAATTCAACGATAATTGTGTTGCACCTTCGGAAGAAATACTCAAGATGAAAGAAACTAACATTGCTGAAGAATCAAATGATTTAAATCAACCCTCAACTAGTAACGGAACTAAAGTTTCAAGAATGAAACGATTACTTCCTTATCTTCAAGCCAAAGCTATTCAGAGATCTGAATCTCATGAAATTGACAATTGAAAAACGGTGTCTTAATCATGGTCTGGGGGTTTGAAAGGATAAATTTACCCTCTTCCAATTACAATTTAAAAGATTCAAGTCTCTTCATTTTTCTTTACTTTCTTTTTTCTATTACGATCTCAATGAGATAATGATCCTCAAGTTGTCTCTCTTCTTTTCTTTCTATTCATTTTCTCTTTCTTTTGTTATTGTCTAACTTGACCATTTCCGACTTAATGTCTTTCCTCTGAATTAGTTTCCTTCCGTTTCTTAAGGTATAAATAGGTAACAATTTACCTTTAATTATCATTAGTTTTGATTAATATCATCGTCATCATCAATTGATTAACTAAATTGAGTTAAATGTGTAACAAGAAGTGATTATGAATTAATCTAAGTGATCAAGTAAAATGTGTTTTCTATTTTTCTAATATTAAGATTAATAAAGTGATTAAATTCAAGTTTAAGTTAATGATATTTAAGGTACAACGACAAAAGTACAACGTTTAAAGTGAAAATTACCAAAATTCTAGATTCATTGAATTGTAATATCAAAATGTTAATAAGTGTTGATCCACAAAAAGAACCCAAATCTTGGGATTTGAAAGGCCTAAGGTGTGCGTCTAACTATCAATCTGATGTAAATCAGTTCTCGGTAACAAAACGACTCAATCAAACCTTTCAGTTAATTTACTGATTGCTGATCAAAAGTTAATTGTTCATCTTTATGTGTTTAACTAACAAGACATTGATGAATGAAACAATTTAATTATGATTACCTTTAACTTTAACTGTTAACAAAGGGATTGGTTTTTTTTTGTAATCACAATTAACATGATTGTTGATTGTTGATGATTATTTTGATTACGTCTTAGCAGCAAACAATTAGCAATCAACACAACAAAAGTAGCCAACCCTAAGTTTGTATACTGACCCTTATTAAATTTAAATCTTTGCTTGCCAATTAAATACAAATCAAACAATTAAATTGAGTGTGTGCACCAAACCTAAGCAATTAAATTAATCACCAACAGTTGATTAAGTAAAGAATCAGAAAAAAACAATCTAGACTAACAATTTAAATCAACAATTAATTGTCTTCCTATTCGTTAACCTCATCTTCCTTACAATCAAAAATAACCTCTAACAATTAGATTTCAAATTGAAACTTTCTAATTACAATTAGTCTCTTTTGCATATAATATTATCACAATTAATTTTATTCAACATTCAGTCAATGATTATCACTAATTAACCCGTTAGACTATATTAACAATGGAAAATTATCTTAATTGTTATTATTAGAAATCGCAATCAATTTGAAACGCATTACAATTTATCCTTCCATGGTTATCTGATTGTTATCTTGTTATCCACAGTTGAGTAAATTGTTGTTGTATCTAAATTGTTATTAAATTGTCAACGGTTAATAGCTCTTCAATTTTCCCTTGTTAAGCTTCAATAATTAAAAGGTGGAAACTAAATTAACTACCAAGGCCTTACAACGATTTAACAATAAGATATTGATAACAATTAGAAGTCGATTAATTATCTGAAATTAAGTGAAAATGTACATACAATTTAAAGAGGTAGAAAAAAATTTTAAATTTAGAATCAGAATCTTGATATTAATCATAAAGAAACAGGAAGCGTAACAATTTAATTCACAATTAAATTTAATTTACTTTTTTCCTTCTGAATTTCATACTTTCCATTTTCAGTTTTTAGCTAATCTTTAGCTTGAAGGTTGAATTACATTTTCTTAAGGTTAATTTAAGGTTTTACCTTTCACCAGTTCAATCTAATTGTTACAATTTAGCTAATTAATGAAAGAAAAAATATTCGATCAATAATAATAATTTAATCCAAAAATGGATTAACACTTAAATCCCTTTGATTTGCATTTCCAACAATTAATTTCATTTCTCTCTCTCTCTCTCTATGCAGTGTTTTATTTACCATTTCACCGCATTCGTGATTAATTTGATCAACTCGCTCAATTTATTGATTGTTATCACCAAAAGGAATCGTGGAGTACAAATTAAGGAACCGGGATATGGTTACAAAATTGTTGCTTCGGTAAATATTAGTACTAACCGAACTAATTGAATTCACTGTGAATTTGAACTTTTATTGATTGATTAGTTTTCTTACGATTTGCATTCATTTTTTTACTCAGGTTTTCGGCCTTCTACTTTCACTATGTTACCTTTTAAGTGCCATGTTTACCTTTCGAACATCATCTTTATTATCATCTGATTCTGATAAAAACATTAATTATCTAGCAAGTAAATGTGGAGTTTCAGTGGTGACCAGTGGCCTTGGAATTAACCCCGAAGCTAAATTCCCATCACCATCCTCACCAACCAGAGGATCGATGGCATTTCTACCTGCATGGGTTCGAGCTTATATAACGTCGGCTAACAATGTGACACCAGAAAACAATTCCACCGCCATCGCCTCACCAGCAGCAACAACAACCAACACACATCGTAAGCAAGATCATGATAACAGAGCATCAAATATATATGATGAGATCTCAATTGCAGTTCCAGAATCAACAAATACATCATCAACTTGAATCAATTGAAAAGATTAATGAGCTCATCATTCAAGTTTCATGTTTATCGAAAAGCTGATTATCATGATGATGGAAGAACAAAGTTTCAAAATCATTTTTCTTCTAAACTTACAGATTCACTACGAAAGAAAAGCAGCAATCAAGGAAGAAAATCGAACTCAAAAAGAAAACGTTCGAAATTGAAATTTGATAGTAATAGTTCTGATTCGTTGGAACAATGATTATGTAACTAATCATAATCAAGAAGGAAAAAAAAATAATGGAAATCTAATTACTAACTATTCGTTATTACTGACCAATCAAGTCTTTCACTTTATCATTTAAACGCATTCAATCAATTGAATTACCTGTTGATAGGATGATTAATTAATCGGAGATGATACAATTTACACTTTCAATTGAAAGATAAAGACACTTATAAGTAAGATGATTAAGCAAAATTGAATTTAGAAAACTTTAATTATATAAATGATTTCGCAGTTAATTGCGACGATGAAACAGCCGAAAGGAGAAAGATCTGAGAAAATGAAGATTCCATTTAATTAGAATGTGAATATTGATGACCATCAATGATGACCAATGTTCCGGATTAGAATTTGGATAATTCAGTTGATTGTAATCAAAAATCTACTAAATTTATATACTAAATCGTTACAAATGTTAATCACAATCAAAGGTAATTAATTTATTCACCCAAGGTTTTTGTTTTTACTTGCTTAATGTTGTCATAATCATCAAAAGGTCAACACTCAAACTGACCAAGTCAAAAAAAAGTAGGACATTTAGTGTTGATTGTGTCCACCAAAACAACAACAACAACAAATATTTAAATTACTGAATGGACATTGAAATAATTACTTTATAGTAAATTAATAATGATAACAATTAACTAATAACAATACACCAACACTAAACGGCGACTCTCTTGATTACCTTTAAATTTAATATTTTCCTGTCTAATTATCACGTTTCACTATTTTCTCTCGGAAATATAAAAGTTTTTTTTTAATTCTGTTCTTAATCATTATGATTAAACAATTTACTTAATTTGTTACCTTAATCATCTTGACCTTGTCTTAATTTTCACGTAATCATAATCACAATTTATAGTTAATTGTAATTACTCTGGTCACAAACAAACAAACATAACCGCTGCTCATATTAACCAATATAATCACAAATTCAATTGTATGAATATTCAAATTTTTCACCAAACAATTTAAAGTTAATAACAAATTTGATTGATAAATTAAACTTTTAATTGAATAATTAAATGTTGTAAACTTTTACTCGAAAAGCAACCGTTTCATATACTGCATATAGAAAGTGAAAGTACATTCGCAATTAACTTAATCAATCACAATCAATTTGTCAAATATAAATTGAACAATACAATTGATTGTTTAATTAGCTTAATTGTAATCAAATAAACATCCAACTCATTGATTAAGATTGAAATAGAGAAAAAGGAAAAAAAATCCGATTCATTTTTTTTCCTTCTCTTTCTGATTTTCGGTTGATTCAATTACGATTATCATGATGATGAACAAGATGAAGATTCTGCTGAAGATGATGAAGATGATGAAGATGATGAAGATGATAATGATATTATTATCAAAGAAAGGAAGTCAACGAATTGAGTATTGTCAAGATAAACGTGAAAGAATCATCTCTTCCGGGTCATCTTTTACCTTCCCTTTTCTGTTGTTGATTATCATTAATACGATTGGATAACAATATGACGATGATTAAAGTTAATTCAGATCAAGGATAGTTAATTGTTTCACTATTCACAACAATTGAATAGTCTAAATCAACGTCCATTGTAAATGATCAACATTAACACCAATGGTTGCACTCATTGTTTATTTTTCTCGCAAATTTAATTGTAGCTTTTAATCAGCATTCAAATAGCTAATTAACTGATTGCTTCGGCCATCTAACTTTTTAATTACTAGTATAATATTAGTTTTAATTTGATTGTGTGAAAGTTGTGTTGTGTAATTAACTGGACAATTTGAATGCTCTTAATGGTCAATTTTATTGATTGTCTTTGGCTTCAAGTTAATTGTCAACGTGTTTTAATTAATATCTCAACAATTTGAATTATCTTTCTCGTCTAAATTTTAATCAATTAATTGTGTTACTTTAAATGGTAATGAATTGAATTTTAATTGTTGAAACAATTTTTACTATTTAATTTTATTAAATGATTAAACTATTGCTGCTTCTTTAATTGTTTGAACTGTTTCTTAATTGTTAGCTATTAAGATGAAATTAATTAAACTTTAATTTTATTTATATATTAAAAATAGTTTATTACTTAATCTGTTAATTGTAGTATAATATTTTGATTGGATTAAATTTTATATAACTTGAAATTGAATTTAATTAAGTTAATTAATGTAAATTGTGAAATAATTGAATAAGATACAGTTGAAATTTCAATTAATCAGATGGATTAATTTTGATTAATTGATTTGCAAATAAAAATCTTTTTACAATCACCAAAAATATAAATTATCCTATTGAATTTAGATGACACAATTAAATTATAGGAAGTTAATTAGTTGCTTGATTAAGGTGCTAGTATAACTTAATCAGGGTTGAAGAAAAAGTTTACAATGTTAATTTATTTTACTATTTTAAAGTGAATTGTGATTCTGAAGGTTAATTGTGATTAGCTGATGAATCTGGATGATTTTTACTACCGGATGTATTTAAATCTACAATTAGTTAATTATTATGATAAGTTCCTTGTCATTGTTTCATCAAACTATCAATTTACAAGTAAATCTCAATGAATTAAATCAACAGCAATTAACTGGAAATCAGTGAAAAGGGAGGAAAAAGTTTCATTGAACAAACCAGTTGAGTGAGAAAGGAAAGAGTATTTAAATTATATTGTTACGCTGATTGTTAGTTGATTGTTGTAAGGAAGATGATGATAAAGAAAGAGAGTGGAAGACAAGGAGAAAGAGAGAGAGAGAGATTGGGAGAAAGGATGGAAATGAGAAGAGGGAGGAGAGAGAGAAAAAAAGTTCGAGTGAGCAAAAGTTCTGGTTGATGAACATCTTTTCATACTCGAAGTGCGAACGTTTTTTTCCACCAACCTGAGATTTCAAACACTCTCCAGGTAGAAAGTAATCAACGTCGTTTGTATCAACTTGAGTTAATCATCTTAATCATCTTTGGATTAATTTATAATCTGTTGCATCAGTTGGATGATTGACAATTTATCCCAATTCAGTTAACCAAGACAAATCAAACTTTCTCATTTACTAAATTGTTTTTTTTTTCTCCTCTGACTTCAACGTGATTTATTTCATCAGTTTTGACCATTGGTCACCTTTCAATCCACTATTATATGGACTTAATTTGATCTTCTTTTTAAACGGAATAGTTTTCAAAGTTATCGTTAATTGTTGTTAATGTGTAATTGATACTTTCCCTTGAACATTGATTTTATATTTTCTAAGCAATTACCAATGATCGGAGGATAATTAACTTTGCAAATCCATATTTGGAGTTGAACAATTTAATTGCTCATCGTGATTAACTGCAATCTCATAACATGAGATTGCTCTGGTTTCATTATATTTTTAGCCAATTGTACATATTGACGTTACTTTTGATTGTCTCATCGAGAGCGACAACAATTAAAGACAATTTACCGTCATCATCATCACAATTTGTTGATTTGTTTTACAGTGATTCTAATGATAGGAACATTCGTTATCCTGTTAATCAACCAGGAACAAATGATCAACAGGTAATTTATATTAACCATGGAAATGGTGCCATAAGTTCAATTCGTCGAAGCTCCAATCAAAAGTTACCCTTTTCTCCTCATGTAACAAGTTATCCAAGTTCAGTTTTCGATAATAATAATCAACCAAATCATCGGGAAAACGATAATTTTAAAGTTGAACCAATACCTTTAATCGAAAATTATCCTGAAGTAAATGAAGAAAATCCAACAATTAACCCAAAGAGAGATGAAATTGATCATCGAAATACTCTCACACCTCAACCAAATCGACGTCCATCCCGACGGTCAGCGGCAACAACACCAGCTAATGAACCTAGTCGACTAATTTATGAACCACAACCGTCAAGTCTTTCACCACCCCCAATACCCTCACCATCACCTCCACCAACAGTGTCAAGTTTAAAACCTCAACCACCATCGAATCTTTCACCCTCCATCCCTCTTCCACCTCGGACATCAGTTCGTGGTGGATTTCCAGCCGCTGATCCATTTTCACCTTTCAACTTGGACAGTTTTTTCACTCGTGATCCCTCATTTGACATTGAACGTAATGTCATTGGAAATCAAGATAATCCTCAACCACCTTCTCGTCCTCGACCATCACCATTGACAAACCATCGCGCTCGATTCACGAACAATGAATCAAATCAACCACCACCTCCTCCTCCACCTCCTCCACCTTCAGCAATTGTCGACAATGATGCGAATCGTTTGGATAAACCGGAAGATGAACGGACAACCGCTGAACCACGAATTCGTAAGCAAGCTCCAAACACTGGTTCGCCTCCACCACCAAGTGCATATAGTGGACGTCCTTCAATCCCACCAGCACCAGTGACAACACCTTCTCCCATATTAGGACCGATTGGAGGAACAACAGGTCGATTTCAAGGACCAACTTTCGGTCCAACGTTAGGAGGTGAAGATGGAAATAGTTTTCTCCCTTCTTATGGTCCAGGATTCGGTTTACCGGGTGGTCAAGATATATTTCCCTTCTTTGAGACACCTTTTCTACCCATAAGTCCAACATCCTCCTCGAACGAGGGTTTCCAACGTCGACGACTAGCAAACAACAATTATCACAATCAAAATAATCTCGGTGCTTATGGTAATCCAAGGCATCATCCATCATCATCATCTCCCCCACCACCCCCTGCATCATCATTGAACAATGTAAATGAAAATTCAATAGGCAATGGAGCGGGTTATCCTTCATATACAATTTACAAGGGTGGAGACGATGACGACGCTGGAGTTAAGTGGCCTAAGATATTCAAGTTTACCGATGGACGTGTTAATCTAAGTGAATTTGAGAGAAACAAGAAATCGGGTAAAATTAAATTCAACAATAAAGAAGACGCTTATTTTGATGATATAAGAAGAGATTCATTTCTCATCCTCCATGGTGGAACCTACAATTAATCACAACAACAACAATTAAAGGGAACCATTTAAATCAGTGGACATCAGAATATCAGGACAATTATGTTTTCTCCGTTGATTGGAACTTTTTTTTTCTTGTTGATGTTTAATATTCACTGAACTCATTCTGACTTGAAACTTGGTGACTAAATTACAGAGATTAAGAGGATGAATTACAATTAATCTAATTGTTCACATCTTCACATAATATTATTGTTTCCATGTTTATGGAAACGGAAATGAAATCGGTGTACAGATAATCAATGTTCAAGTTTCCTTGAAATTCAATCATCATCGTCATCATGTTTATCGTTTTTCCTCATTTTTTCATCCATCGATTGTTATATTACCGTGACAATTAGTGGATAAAACAATTCTCTCCATAAGTAATCAGGTAAATTGAAACATAATGATAATTACTCCATCTTAATGTAGATAATTAGTTAATTGTGCAAAAGGCTTTTAAGGTGAAATAAATTAAACTTTTTTCTTTCAGGGCGATTTTATATTGATTCGATTCGAACCAATTTACATAATCGTTGTAACATTGAGGAAAATTAAATCTCATTTGATTCACTTAATATTAACAAAGAAAAATTTGATTATATTAGACACACAAAATCGTTAATTGTAACAGTTAACAAATGATCAACATCTCATTCATATTATTTGTTAATCACAATTGATCATTTCTTTTTATAAATAATTTTCTCAATCTCTTGCTAACACTAATTAGTTAATTGTGTCACAACTACACATTCATGTGGCTAATTGATTAACTTTTTGTTTTTCTTTCGATTAAATGAAAAATCAAAAATTGATGAGAAAAATTAACAAAACAATTAGGAGAGAGAGAGAAAATCAATCAAAAACTGTCAACGATTAAATGACATTGGAATGAGAGAGAAACAAATTATTGCAATTAAAAGTAAACCAAACAATTAGAATCAGGAAAACGAACAACAATTAATAAAGATCGTCGATTAAATTATGATGATGAAACAATTTACGGAGATTTTAAATTCGAAGACGCTAATTGATTATGAATTTTTTTCTTCTCTCTATCAGATAAATTGTGTTTTTCTTGTGGTCATTTAAGGTCATAATCTGATTCACTTCTGATTACACTTTCAACTTTCACCTTAGGTTTATCTTCATCTTCATCATCAGCTGATCTCTTGATACTCGAAGGTTCATCCGGTTGATTGGTTAATTGATTATTTTCACTTCGTTCATCTTTATCATCATGATCCATCTCAGTTTCAATATCATGTCCATTGGATTCAAAGTCTGGTTCACAATTAACAACCGTTGATGGATCAGAATCCTAAATTGTGAAAAAAGAAATCAAATAATTACAATCAAATTGGTAAAATGATAATATTGTGATTCCAATACGAACCGGATTAGAGTCTTCAGCTTTAAATTGTAACATCAATTGACACACACGATAACATCGAGAGTAAATTGTAATATAAATATTAGTTTTTTTATCATGATAATTTTGTAGCAATTAAATTAATTGTTACCTGGATCATTTGATTTCTTGTTTGGTTTGGCAAGACTAAAATCAGCATCAAATTCAACTTGTATTTCAATTCCAGATTCATTTTCAGATTGATTGTTATCATTTTCATCGTGATTGATATTCGCTTGCGATGATCCATTTTCTTGATCAGCTGATTTGTCGTTTTCAATAAATTCTTCTCCGAAAGTTCCTCTTGATTCAATTTCTGGTGTTGGTTGTATGATAACAACAGCATTCGGAGTTAAATATGCAGGTTTAGGAGGTGCAAATGTCGGAGGTGGTGGACCAGAGGTCGGCATTGGTATTTCGCTCGAATCTGCACTTTCACTTGGACCACTTTCGACTATTTAATGAGATGGAAATAGAAACAATATAAGCGACATTTAAGCTTCAAATTTTCATTGTAATTTCCTTTAAATTTACCTTCTTCGTCTTCCTCTTCTTCCTCTTCATCTTCTTCATCGACATCGATCACAAGCATAGATGGAAAATGACCTTTAACTCCGTCTTTCTCTCCAAGCCACCAGCCATCTTCACTTTTCTCGTGTATTATGATAACATCGCCTGAAAATTAATCGAAATAAAAATTGTAAAATGAATGAAAAAAATATGAAAATTTCCAAATTTCGAACATGCAAATTATATTAACAACCGACCTTCTTTGAATGATATTTCCTCATTGGAAGTGGCAGTATAATCGTATAAGGCTTTAACATGATGAACATGATCAGTGATTTCCTAGAGAGTGAAATTAAAACAATTGACCAACAATTAGTCATAATATTCAGAACTTTTTTCGTAACTATTTACAATTTGAGTTCTTTGGGTGTGATCTTCATTATCATCAAGCGGCGGTGGAGGTGGTAGCGACGGGTCATTATCGACAGCGGAATAATCATCCTGAGGTGGTGGTGGCGGAGGTGCTTCGGTTCCAGGTCCATAAGCATCGTCAACGATTTCAACATAAGCAGCAGGAATATAACCAACTTGATCTGTAAAAATAACAATTAAAGTGATCATCAATCATTTAGTATTTTGTGATTACATGAAAATATAATAATGGTGATAATTACAATTATCATTTTGAGCTGTGACCCAGGCTTCATCTTCAGCTGACAGAACTGTCAACAATTGATCAGCATCGAAACTCAGTTCATCCTGATTTTGACCTTCGTATGGGTATAAAGCACGAACCCGTTTTCCAACAAGTTGGGACCTTTAAGAAAAGGAAAAGAGTTACAAATTGTAATTGTTTAAATGTAGAAAGTTAATTGGTCCATAATTAGCTAAATCGACATACGCATCAACTGTCACATGATAAGCAGTTTGATCATCGTAATTGGTTGTATCAGGGTAAGATGAATTTTCTGTTGATGTATTGGGAAGAGATGATGAAGGTGGTGGAGGTGATGATGAGGTTGATATATCATCGGTTGCATAAGATACAATAGGAGGTGGTAATGTGCTGATATCGGCTGGTTGTTCAGGTTCCTGGGGCTGTGGATCATCAGCCCAAGCATCGTTAAGGTCATAACCTCCCCAACCAGCTGAGGTGTCATAAGAATCATAATTGTAAACGGGTTGGGATGATTCTCTCTCAACGGGAGATTCAACGGGCTCAGGTTCAGATGAATATCTTTCATTTGGCTCTGGAGTTGGTTCTTGACTAACGTATTCTTGTTGATCATCGGAACTGCATGAAAATCAAAAGTTACAAGAAAAAAGATTTGTAAGCAATCAGCAATTAGTAAATGGCCGATGGTCAATTAAAGGTAAATCTCTTTTTAGAAAGAAACTTTCAAAGTACTCACAATGATTTATTTTCCATTGATGAGACTCGACCCTCGCTGATATTGGTACTTCGTAGACTCGGTGTTCGACTCAATGGTTGAGCAACATCAACATCTAATGATGTTTGCTTCATATCGGAGGCAATTTGTGATTCGATAGCTTCTAAATCGTCAATAGGCATTCCGGCTAAATTAATTGATTGAAAATCGAACAAGAAATAATTAGTTCTCCGAGATTTTAAACAGAATAATCTTACATATTTGAATTGCTCTTAATCGAGCTTCAGCTTTGCATTTTGAGATGTCACATTTTCTTAATTGTTGTTTAATATCATCAATACGAGGTTCGATTTCGACAACACCAATTCCAGTAACTTCAACGGTCTTAAGGTCAAAGATAAGATTAAAATCGAAACTCAATGAAATAAAATCTTCCTCTAAATTGTGTATTAGAGTTTCTTTTTGGTCAACTTACCCTTTTACCAGCAGTTTGTAGGTTAAGACATTTAGTTAATTGTTGATTTAATCGATGAAGATTTCGACACTCTTTGGTGTAACAAGACATCCATTTAGCGATCTCATGTTGAAGAGCGAGTTCAGCATTATGTTCAGTGGAAACGGTTCGTACTTGATCACCGTCACATGGTTCAAATTCAAATTGTAATGTTTCCCTGAAAACGAATAATCAATTTTAATCACTTTTCAATTAATCCAAATCAACTAATTACCTTAGACAAGCCGATGATTGTTCAGCAAGAAAAGCTTGATCAGTATAATTAGCCGATGTTGACTCCAAGGCTCTCATTATGTTGGTTAATGTTTCACTTGCATTATTCATAGAAGACGTTTCGGAATTCAATAGATTTAACATGAATCCTGGTTAAGATAAGTATGAAATTGATTAATTAGTGAAAATGAGCAAAGAAATTGTGTTATTTAAATTAATTAGTTTCAAATACCTTTGCATTTATCAAGAACATCATCCTCGAGGAACTGGAGTAAATTGGGTAAATCGATTGTGAAATAATGCTCAAGATGAGCATTTCCAGCGACTAAAGCTAAAATATATTCATTACGAGCCTAATTAAGTAAATTTAGAAAAGCGTGTTAGCTCAAAACAATCAAATTTAACCAACAATTAATTAATTTAGCAGAAAAAGTGATTACCATTGTTGATTGAATGTCACTCGCTTCTCGATGGGCTCCAATCTTTTCCTTCTTACTCTCGGAGTGGGTGAATTTTGAGAAAATCCCACCCTTACGTTTCTTTACTCTAAATGAGAAAAGAACAATTTAATTAGTTATAACTAATCATAAGCACTAATAGTAATTAATTACTTTTCCTCTTTGTCCCTCGCTTGTTTAGCAAGATGCTCCTCATCGAAATAAAGTTTACGATTCTTGTCAATTTCCGCCGCCGATGCTACGATTTCCTCTTGTTGTTTCCTGTTTCAAAGAAAAAAGATTCAAATTGTTAATTATCAGTTCGATAACTTGATTAAGATTAACTTACTTTAGATAATTATCTAATCCTTTCTTTCCAATATGTGATTTGTGACTTTTAACTTGTTTCAATGTATCGTAAACATGAGCAACTTGCTCGAACTGTGAAGCACGAAATTTGGACAGTTTATCCTCCTCTTCCAGGTACGATTGCCACGCTGAGTAAATTGTCCTTAAATTTGGAAGCAAAAAATAAGACACAATTGGATTAATGTTGAGAAAATCAATCGAGAAAAGATATTGATTATGATTAGAGAGGATTACGAGTTGTGATAATGTTATTTACTTTATATCAGATTCCTTGTCACTTTCAAAGGTTGGATATTTTCTGGCTAAATGATTAGTACATAATTTGGATAAAGCTGAACAATAATCTTTTTCTATTGAACATTTTACTTTGAAAAAGGTTCGAACATCATCAATTAACTCTAATTCAGCTGAATGTTTCTGCGATAAACGAGCCGATTGCTCTTGAAGAATTGCTTTACATCCAACAGCAAGTGAAGCTGATTTACCATGAATCACAAATGAACCAACTCTGTTCAGTCCAGTGGAACCACTTGAATCACTCTGACCTTTGACACTCATTGTTTACAATTTTTATTAGACTGTAAGTGTAAATCGATATACTAAAGTTATTGATTACCAGCACTGAGAATTGTTTCAAAAAGTGTTCTAATTTAGGTTAGATTGTTACACAATTTTCGCTGAACACAAGAAGATTGAATGAGGAAGATGATGAAAGAATTATGGGAGAAGTACAATAAGGTGAAAATAATTGAATTTTCTAAGGTAAATAATGAAAGATGAGGATAAAAGTTCTGGTCGAATTTTTGATTCCTTTCGATTGCATTGGAATCGCTTCCATGGATTGAGTTGATTTTTTTTCTTCTTCTTCTCTAACAAAAAATAAAACAATCAATTCAAATCACTTTTCTATCTCATAATTGTTATTGTTTTGATGAAATAATAATAATTAGGTGAGTCCACATGAAAATAAGAGAGAGAGAGAGAGAAATTGATTCTGAGGCTTTGGTTAACAGGGAATAAAAGATTAACCTGCAACTGCGCTGATTCAGTTGCAAGTCTAAGGTTATCTCGATTCTGTTTATCGATCGATAACTTTGCGAACTGTTCAATGGGATTGTTGTTATTTTTTCTCTTCTCCCATTACCCTCCCTCTATTTCTTGTTGATAGAAAGCGAAAGGGCAGATAAGAATAATCAAATTCGATATTCATATTGATAAAATAACAACACCTTCTTGATAATCTTTCAATGTCAATGATTCGATGAACGAGAAAAAATCAGTTCCAAAGTTCAACCAGAAATGATCATCAAGGAAGCGCGAGATTAGTCAGAATTTTGTCTTTTTCGATTATCCCAACGATGGCCGTAAAATTAATTCTCTGGGTAATTAATCAATCAACTTTCTGTCTTGAATAACAATAAGAAATGTATCACCATCTTTTATTTTAATGAAATAACATAATCATCTTCATCTTCATCAAAGATATTAGATATGTCCAAGGGCAACACATTCGTTGTTTTCATTTCACAAACTGAGCTTTAAAAGTTACATTATCAGGGCGAAATGTTCATCTCACTCTGTCAGTTATTTGGTGTTTTTTATGCTTTTCCTTTGCTCGTATTGTCCGAGTGTGTTTTTTTGGGCTTGAACGGGATCATAGTTTTGATTTTACTGTGACGAGGACAAAAAAAACGTCAACCAATGATCAACCTTCCTTTTTAAAAGTCAACCTCTGCTGGATGTTTACATTTACAGAGTTAATTGTGAAGGTCGATTTTCATTTGTTTTCGTTTTGTGGAAAAATAGTTTTAGAAAAGTTTTGAATAGCAAATAAACGCTTTCTCAACAAGTTTGTTGATTCTTTGGGAGGAGAAAGTGAGATTATCAATCTGGTGAAAATATCATGGATCTGGTTGATAAAAGAGACCACAAAATGCTTCTTGGATGGCACGTTGACATGGATAAGTCCTGATGAATCCTCCTGCAAGTTCTGATAATTCAATGTTACGCACATGATGTATATGCCCGAGATCATGGAGATCTTTAGTTCCCAGTGGATTTGGACCTTCCATATCAAAGGTTGGCTCCACGTAAACGTAAACTTCATGTTCAACTTGCTTTGGAACCGGAAGGAATAGACTGGATGAATTTTTACCAACTTTAATACCCGTTGAGAACATAACTTGACTTGGAGGCCTTCGAATTGGAGGTGGTTTGGGAAGTTCGGCATTTCTTTTTTCTAATTGTAACTTTTCGCTTGCATGTCGAGCCAAAATTTGATTCGCAGGTAAATCTGAGCACATTAGATCATCAACCAAAGCTTCCGCTGCTCTTTTTTTACTCTTGGAAAAATTGTTCTCTTGTACACTTAGAACTTGAGTTTTCCATTGTTCGTGATCCTTTTCAGCTTCTATAAGACCTTCTATTTCCTCCTCATCTCGACTTAGTTTACCACGATTTCTATTAATTGATTCCCAATTATCTTTTTTATAATTTTCTATATTTGGAAAAGAAAGAAAAACAATAAATTGTCAAAACTCAACGAAAATTAATCAAATCATTACTTACCAATTTTACGTTTAGTTGATTCAACATCAATATTATTAGTTAAATTGTAGATCAAATCTTCAATGAATTCCAAATAATCATTGTACTCATCGGGAGAGGTGAAATCATCCTCTTTCTTGTTAAAATCTTTCAATATTTTCTTTCTTATATCAACTTCTTTCTCTACCAGTGAATCTTCAAACAATTGTACACGAAAATTGGTCTTCCTTAATGAGATATTACAAGTTGGACAAGTTGCTGATCCTTTAACAAATAACAGGTCAACACAATTATCACATAAAGGATGACCACAGACATTGACCAATAGCTTCAACAATGGATTACGATACTTGGAGGTTTTACAACGTGGACAAGAAATATCTTCACTCATAGTGGATCAAATATACAAACGAGAGAGAGAAAAAAAAATCAACACTAGATAGAGAAAAACAAAACAAAACAAAACAAAATTAATTCTTGGACAGAAATTAAAATAAAAACTATCAACAACCAACACGAGAATCGATCAGCTGAGAAAATTTAAATTCCAATGGAAAGTTTCGCCATCTATTGGTTAGAATTGAGAGTAAAATATTTTTCGTTTTTCGAAAACTTTTTTCCGCGATTTTCAAATTTCTCAAATTTTATTGGAATGATTTTCGCAATTAAAGAATCGACTGATTGATTGATCATTGATTAAATGATTTAATGTTCAATTCTCTTTTTATAATCACATTTAGCTGTTGAAATTGATTAATTTGATTATGATAAGTTATTAGTTTTTAATCATCTTGTTGAATTACATATGTGATCGTAATGATTGTTGATCAAATCAGTTGATGATTTAATGTATAAAAAATTTGATTCTGATTAACATCAACAATTTTTTGTTCACTTTGAATTTAAACTGTTACATTGATTAGACTAATTCAGTAAAGGAAATGAATTCGACAGAATCAAATTATATTTTTCCCTCCCAGTAGACAATATGAATAAATTGTTTTCCAATTTTTTTTTATACTTTATGTACATTAACAATTCTGATTTCAGATTCTATTAAAAATTCATTACACTTATAGTTATCATATTAATGAGATTTTTTTTCATTTTTTTTGTTTATTATTACAACAGAGCAGTTAAGTGTTAAATAAAACAGATTACATTGATGATAGTAGGTACAGAGAGAGAGAGAGAGAGAGAGAGAGAGAGAGATGGGGGGCAGAGGGAGAGAGAGCTCAGGTAATTATGGTGAAATTCAAGGTTGATTTGGTGGTGGTGGAAGAGGACAAGGGTGTGGTGAAGGTAGAAGGAGATTGAGAGAGAGAGAGAATGAGTTATAAAGAAATTATTTCCGTAAAAGATTGTTAATTAGGAACAGTATTGAATAAAGTGTAAAGATAGCGAGGTAAAAGTTTTGTTGTCCATTCGTTATCGATTTGTGTATTGGTGTTATCGCTATTTAGATTGTAAATATGATCAGAAATGTCCTTTGGAACAGTCTAATCAAGTATCGATTGATGAATGGTATTGATTTGAATCATTTTCGTATCCTTGAGTATTAACGAAACTTTATCCATCATTTTCTGTTTCGTTTATCCATCTTCCAACACAATGATGATATAACAGGCATTAATTATCATCCTCATCGTCATCGTCGTCGTCTTCATATTAATTGTGATGTAATTTTACAGTGAACTCTTTATTTCCTTTTCAATTAGTTATTTTGTTGCGTCTTGAACAACAGAAGTTTATTTTTTTTTTTCTTAAACTAAGATTCTGATTGATCTTCGGCATTCAGGTAACGTGTCCAATATACAAGGTTGAAACAAAGAAAACAAACAGGAAAACATATCCGACTGAGAACATCGATTTGCTTGGAACGGCTTGGAAATCGGGCTAACCAGCGAGTGAAAAAATTCTTATGATGTGGTCCAGAGTGAATCTCACAAGCTCGAAGCTTGTCTGCAAGATTATCGACACCTCGGACCAATGGTTTCTAAATTTAGTAACAGAATAACGATAAAGAAAAAAAAATTATCGATAAAAGAAACAGAGACAATTTATTAACATTGGATATCAATTAATTGGTAGAAACATTTTCAATCAATAGGAAGGAGAAGAAAAAAAAATAATAACAAAAGGAAATCACAGCATATAAGAAAACACGAAGACAAAATTGGAACAAGGAAAAAGAAACATTATTATCATGGACAATATTGACACGACAATTTGGATTAACAATCTTAGAACTTTTTTTTCTTCTTCTTCGAAAAGACAAAAATGTAACAACAACAACAATGTTCTATGGAAGATAAATATTTCTCAAGTAAATATCACCAAAATAAGTGAGATGAGAAAAGATGAACTGTGTAATTGCCTCAAGTATAACTGGACAATTAATCTTTTGGACAATGAAAAGGCAAAAGACAGAGTGGGTGAGCCAGAGGGAGAGAGGAAGATGAACCTGGAGAATTGTGATTTCGAAAACCATATCTCATTGAAATGGACCATTAAACTAGTGAAACTTATTTCATTTTCGTAACAATCTATCAATTCAATTATTATCTTTACCATCATTGTCCTAAGAATGAGAATTAAATTTGACCATCATCATCATCATGAAAAGAAAATGATGCAAGTTGAACAATCAATTGGAATCGTTATCAATTCAAAACTTATTCTTTCATCTAAATGCTACGATAATCATATATTAATAAAATTTAAATCCATTATCTTATGGAATCTGAAATTCATCAGAATCCGTTTTGTTTTTCTCATGAAAGAATAACAAGAAAAAGAGATAAAAAGTCAAATTTTATCATGTCAAGTAAAATGGATATGAAATTGAGTCTGAGAAGGAGCTGGAGGACTGGACACTGTCCACTCTTTCTCTTTCTCTGTTCAACTTTTCCTCCCACTATCATGGTCTCATCTTGCCTGTCCAAATAAACAAACATCGGTCTTCCGATTTGAGAAAATAAATAAGCTAAATAATCCAATTGCAAACAGGAATAGATTCTGGATGCTGATTCTGATTCTCATGATAGAGTAACAAAGTTGTTTACTTTATTCTGGAATGAAAAAAAATAGAGAAAGAGTTTGAGAGAGAGAGAGAGAGAAGTAGTTGCTTTTGAAAATTTTTCTCTTCTTCTTAAAAAACGAATAGAAAGAGACAAAAAAGGGAAAAGATGAAGATGAAGATGAAGATGATGGAAAAATACATATATTTATTGTTAGAGGAAGAAAAAAATCTTCATTCTTAGAGAGAAAGCAAAAGAGAAAATGTTTTTTACTTCTTCATATTTTTCTTCTTACTCCATAAAAGAAACATATTAAATCGATAAAGATCAAATGCGAATTAGTAATTGATGTTTATCTTTTCATTTCAAATTTTTCTCTTCACCATCAGCATCTTCATCTTCCATTATCTTCATCTTCATCATTTTCTTCCGACTGTATTAATATAAAAAAAAGAAAGAGTATCATCATCATCATCGTCATCATGGAAAACTATTATTATACAATAATGTACATAAATTGGATAACTAATAATAAACTTGCCAATTTTGAGCAAAATAGGATTAAGTTAAATTAATAGAATCATTTTTAGATCAACAATCGTATAAAATTCAATTTTTATACTGATAATCAACAAGATTAAGATAATAGTAGCAATTTAAACGACTAACCATATAAATTTGTAAATGGTAACAATTAAATGACTTAAAATTAAACCAATTCACACAAGCAAATGAAAACAACTTATTATATATAAGATTAATTTACAAAGTTAATGGTTACATTGGCAAATCATTAATCAAATATAATTAGTTGATTATATGTTAGTTAAAATTGAAATGTTTGATTATATGAGCTGATTAACTAATTTAGATCAGTGATTGGACTGATTCAATATAAACAAGATTAACCATCTAGATTTTAGTTGAAAATGATAAACAAACAACGTGTATTTATATAAATCAGAAAAGTTAAGTTGTTTTCATTTGATTTACTAACAATTAACAAACTGTAATTTAGTTCAAATCAAAAGTTAATTGAACAAGAAAAAAGGAACAGTTTCTCTTCTAATGATGGTTAAAGTAATCAAGGTAGTTAATTATGGCTAAGGATTAATTGGTTGGGATGTAAGTATATTAACCCACCTTTGGAAAGGCCAATGGTTCATTTTCAAATGATTCTGGATCGAAAGGTAATTGTTCAATATCAAGAGATTTACGACGAATTGGAGGTTGACTGGAGGGTGGAGGCGGTGGAGCGGGTGCTGCTCGCCTTTGAGCAGCTCTATGAGCATCACTTCGGGAAGCATAATTAACCAGGGCAAATTCAAGTAAAGCCCCAAAGACAAAGGTTAAACAAGACTCTGTCCACACATCAATGGCTTTAATATAACTGACCGGCGGAAGAGAGGCATTTATACCCGATATTTGGGTAGCCATGGTCAGTAGGGTTGTCACACCCAATGAAACCCGAGCAGGTATCGCGTTTGGATCCAACCAGAATGAGACCCATGAGACGATCACAAGCATCACACAGGGAAAATATATTTGAATCAGATAGTAACTAAATTCACGTTTAAATGTAAGTCTAACTTTGATGCAACTGTATTCACCTATGGGAGAAATGAGAAGCAAGAAAAATTGAAAACATTATTAGTCATATAATTAGAAACAGCAACAATTAAACGTTTGCTAATTAATTTACTAGACGAATGATTTAAAAAAAAGAAAAGGGTTAACATGATCAATTTTCGTAATAACAAATATAATCATGATTATATGATGATAACCATTGATTAAGTATTGTGATTATTATTATTATAATGTGTTGACAACAATAGTAATTATTATGTAATAAGTATTAGAATCATATATTTGTGTCGTAATATATATTTTCATTTGCATATCCATGAGTTTATGTTGAAAAATATCATGGATTCATTTTATTTATTCATTTATGCAAATTCCTTTAGATATAATAATAATTATATAACTACTTTTATCATCGTTATGATTGTGTTACCATTATTATTGATGTAAATCATCATCACTAATAATATAAACATTTAAGTGTTGTCCATGACAATTATTGTGCTTTTAGTGTATATATGAAAAAAAAGCAAAACTTTTCTGAGTTTCTTCAGGAATTATTAGTTATCATCATCATCTTATTTATATATACAAATATAATCATGAATCTGAGTGTATATTGAGGCAACTGGGAATGAATATTATTCTGAATACCCTTTGTAATCAATGTTACTTGTTAGTTGATTATCATATTGTTGTTGATTCATTTTCTTACATTGAAATATTGTTGAAAGGTAAATGACAACAATATTACCTTTCATCATTTCGTAACTATCAAATTGATGATAACATTTTCTTTTAATATTTTAACGTGATTTAGGTTTGATTTATTGATTGTTTTATTAATTAATGACTCTAACAAATATTGGATTAACAATTCACGATTACAATTGATCCAAGTTTTTGTTTTTCTCAATTATAACAATTGATTTGTTGATCTCTCTCTTACTCTTTCCGTTTATTAAGATAATTAATTGTGATTGTTTATACTCATGTTTAGTTAATCAATTAAATTTGATTGACAAGTTTACCGATAATATTATTATCAAGTAAATCACAATAGAGAAAAATAAAATCATCAAATGTAATATTTGAAATGGAAAAGGAAATGAATGAAATTATTAGGATAAATGTCAAATATATTCACTTATTAATTGTTGATTATCATAATTATTATGAAAGGGTAAACAGTTATGATAAGATCAAAGTTAACTAATAACAATCAAGAAACAGAAAATTAAAAATCAAACCTATATAACAAGGTTAATCAATGAGAATTCAATTCATTGCTAATTTAAAGTAATCAAAATTAACAGTAAATCTTGATAATAAAATGATGAAGCTTCAAACAATTAGTAAAATACTTAAGTAAATTCAATTAATTTGATGGTGATTATTATACTTATATCATAAAAGGTATTAATGTTAACCCTAGAGTAAATATTGTCTCATCATTAGTTAATTGTTAATGATCAACTTGTTAATCCAAACAAAATGACTATAAATCAAATAAATTAAGACTTCTATCAATGATAATCATTATAATCAAAGGGAAAAAAGTAGATTACAATTAACGTTGAATGTTACCAGAAAATGAAAGTTATTGATCAAAATTGATTATAATCTGGTAGCATTTTATTTAGCTACCAATATATGTTAACTAATACAACTGAATTGGTTTAGTAAATTGTTTACAAAGTGAATGATTAACCTTGACAATTAATGATCGACAAATCATTATCAATACAATCAGTTGGTGAATTCACTTAATCAAAAACATTTACCCAGGAAAAGATTTAAAAGATTTCACTTGTAATGAGACAAAACGAGAGAGCAAGTGAGTGAGTGAGTGAGTGAGTGAGAGAGAGAGAGAGAGAGAGAGAGAAATTTAGATTAAAGTGAAGCTGATAATGAAGATATAGAGAAAATTATAAGAATAAAAAAGGGATTAAAGAAGATAAATCCTAGAAATAGTGAGATAATGGTAGGGAAAGAAGGAGAAAAGATAATCAAGAGTTTACCTGACAACTGATTAACTATCAGATCAATCATTTGACAACGTAGATTCATTTACTAGTATCACTCTCAATGAATCCTCTCTCTCGAGGCCAACTAATTAAGAAATCTTCCTCTTTCTCATCATCATTTTCAAATACTTAATCCGATGTTCAATTAAAATTGATTACCTGTAAAAAAAAGTATCAACAAACTTTGATGTTATTAATATTTACCGATTCTCTTTCAATGAAAAGGCAAATACACAATCAATATAATCTTAAATGCGATGATAACAAAACACGAAAATCAATCAATTATCAGGATAATAATTTCCAGAAGTCTATTGATCATTAGCTTCTCATAATTCTTATAATTGAATCAATTAATCATTTCACAATCAATAAATTCTACCTTATTAGTTAATATAACTGTAAATTTAGTCCAAATTGTGTCTTAAATGACGAAATGACCCTAATCACTTTTACAGGAATGGATTAACTATAAATAAACTATCATATCTTAATTATAATTATACTCAGTAAGTTGTAAAAACATCGTGAATAGAATATAATTAATCTTAAATAGTTGATAGAATCATTTACCATTGATTAATGTGAAAAAAAAGTCACATAACTTTTTTACCTTTTTTGTTATTACATTTAGCTAACAGTAAGAAACTAAGGAAATGTAATCAATATCTTACTAATTAACGATGGAAAATATATAAATCATATATTCTACTGCAAATGATTAATTGTAATTACCTGTATTCGTACGACTTGTACAGTATTCTGTTACATAATTGCTAAGACCAAATCGAGGAAGATGAAGGTTTTTAACAACCTGAACAGGATCATCACGTTTCCATTGAAAAACAAGATCTTCTGTTGTGTAACCATCTAAATATATGAAAAGAAAAGGATAAAGGTAAAAAAAGCAACGATCGAGATTGAAAATGATTAGTAAAAGATGATAAGTAAAAAAGGATCAGCAACATTTAGATTAATTTCACAGGTAACATGTGATCGTATATAAGATTTATCATGGGTGAGTAGGTGAGAGAGAGAGAGAGAGAGAGATAAAAGTATTCGTAAAGTATAATAATATCAAAGATATGCTCATCGAACCACTTCAATGAAGTTTACGTGAGATGAAAAATTTTTTTTCTCTTCAATCGTAAAGATATAAGGATGATAATCATGATGATGAAGATAATGATCATGAAAGGATGAGAATGAATCAAAACAAAAGATTTAGTTGTTGTTCAGTTGATCAGAATGTTGTTAGTTGAGTAAATAAAATATTATATCTATCACATCTATTAAATCTAATAAGAAATCACCCAATTGCATGATAAACTCAATCAATTTTGATTTGATAAATTGAACTTCTGTCCATGGATATATATTTAATATCTATAAGATGTATATGTATGTACTTTGTGAGGTTGTAAGAATCATCATCGTCATCATCATAATAAACATGAGTGATAAACCAGATAAATAGTATCATGAATTATTCGGATCATCATGAAGATGTTGATAAAATGTTAACCACACGTAAACAACACTCTGTTGATTGACATTAATTTTGTTTTTCTCTGGCTGGTTAATAATTTATCAACAATAATAACTGTTGATCATCATTTCAATAATTTAACCATGAAAATCATTGTTTTCATGATAAATTTATCAATTCAATACAAGACTCTGGATAATTCAGTTCAATTGAAGGTAAAATATATAAATTGTGATATATTGTGAATATGGTTTCTTTGTATTACAACACAATTTGTAAATTGTTACAATGTTATACAATCAGAAAGGTTTATTATTTGTGTATGAAAAGATCATTGGAATAGAGATAGTTGATTATCCCATGATTAGTATTTATTATTAGCATGAGATGATTAATTGATTGACTGATTGTAATTATTGTAATATGAGAATATGTAGTATTCATCTGGTGATTAAACAATTTAGATTAATGGAGGAAAATCATTAGGATTAAATCTGATTGTTTTGATGATTAATTTTCATTTTTGTTTCTCTATCTGATCACATTTTACTTGTGAGAATTGTGATTAAGTTAAACACAAGAAATTGCAAATTGATCTGCTAATTAAAACGTAGCGTATGCATATAATAATGCTGACAATTAAGACAAATTGCTGGCCCAAGCAACTTAATTAGCAAGAGTTGACATTTTGTGAGGCGAAAAACAAAATTTAAAATCATTTACAATTAAGCAATCAAGTTAAATTCACAATTTAAATTAGTCTTTTTTTTTGTTTAATTTCAATTGTTTGTTGAAATATTCAATTATTTAAAGGATTGAACAACAATTGCTGAGTTTTACAAATTCATTTGAACGGTTAATTGTCAACAATTTAATCACATTCAGCAATTAATAACATTAACCTAAACAAATGAAGAGGTTAAGACTTTTGAAAGAGTAACAAACAAATGGGAATAACTAGAATCATGAACAATTAATTTGATTACTGTTCAGTTGATTGTTTAGATTGATTCATTTGAATTTCATTAACTATTGATTAATTTGCTTCTAACTCAATATAATAATCATAATAATTGCTGTAAAAACAAAACAAACTGATTAACTGAAGATATTTTCTTTCTCACCAGGAATTAGTATCATTTTTTATGTTGACATGTCTAAAGCTACTTGTGATGAGATCCTGATGATAGAGATGATGATTAAAAATGATGACATGATTTTGTCATCGTGATTTGAATATTAATACAGATGAAAAAATAAATATATTGTTTGCAATTGATTATTTTAAGGATAAGTTGGAAGATAACAATATCATTGAAGAAAAGGAGTGAGATTAAAGTGATGCGGGGATAAAGATGAGGAGGAAAAGGAAGACAAGGACTGGAATGATGATAAAGATCATAAAAAATAAGAAAGAGAGAGAGAGAGAGGAGAGGAGAGGAGAAGGAGAAGGAGAGGAGAGGAGAGGAGAGGAGAGGAGAGGAGAGGAGAAGGAGAAGGAGAGGAGAGAGTTTGATAAAGGAGAGGAGAGGAGAGGAGAAGGAGAGGGAGAGAGAGTTTGATAAATCCTTTTGAGATTTCCTCTTAATCTTTAGATCCTTTTCATACTTTCTTTCATCCTGTCGTCCTCGAATACCTCCACCTTCATAATCATTTTACTCTCTCATTAGTATCATTTTTTATCTTCATAACTCTCTCACTGTCTCTCTCATCCCTTGGACAGGGATGAAAATGTTACTTGAATTTGTCAAGTGACAAATCCCTTCCACCTCCAACCTCCCAGCTACTTATTACCATAATATATCAAATTATATATTATCATTGATAAATAATCATGTATTTTTGTTGCCAAAAATAACTTTCATATAATAATTATCAAGCTTCATGATTAATTGTGTTATTAATTAATGATTTTAACCAATTGTAACTCATTAATGAGTTTATTCAGTTGATTGATTTCGTAGTAGAAATGATCAATCATTGTTGTTGTAATAATGAATAATAATTATCAATTAAACATTTTCCCTCTGTTAACTTGATTCAAATCAAATGTTAAGAGTATTCTAGTAAATTTAATTGTTACAATTAATAGGCAATCATCTCAATTAAATGCTTACTTATCATGTTAACAATTGTAACTTTAATTAGACTAAGAAATAACATCAATTACTATCATCATCATTACCAACATGATGGTCATTATTAAGTCTTAACAATCATTACTGTCAATTAAACATTATAAATGAAAGTTACTTGTGAACCGATAATCAGTAATTCATTGAGTCAAATGATTAAATAATCATTGATTAGTTTTGTTATTCTCGGAAAAGTTTATCACAATTAATTGATTTCCAGTGAAATTAAAAGTTCATTAAATTGACTTATTACGATCACCTAAGGCTTCTGATTTATGAATAATAATTATATCCAAGAATATGAAGAGAAATAAATCAAAATGATAATAAATTAATCTTCAGGATTGAAGCAGTTGACTGAACATTTTGATATTAATACTTTGGTGATGAACATTCATTAACCTCGTACAATTAGTTTTAGTACAAAGTTAATTATCGTTTCATCTAATTAGATGGTGAAAATGATAATATATTTCAATGGCTACTTACAACTGGCCATTTTGATTTCACAGTCTTGTTTATCGAGTGGAAAGAACCTCAAGTCCATTGGGCAGAAGAGTACAAGGGAGATTCGTATGGAATAGAGGATTTCACCATTTGGATGAATTCGTAATAAAACATTGGGCATAATTATATTATGAAAATGGCCTGATTTTTCATTGGAGAAAAACAAATCAGGCTTCCAAATCCTGTCAGGATCAGTTAATGTTAAGAATCGGATTTTACCGTCCAAATCATCGTATTGAAGGCGATCATCTTTCCATTGTTCACGAAAAGTTATTTGGAGAGCGTATTCCTAATGGGAAAGAGATTAAGAATATATAAAAATAGAATACAATTAATGATGACATTGATACAAATTCGATATTGTATTTAATTAAAGAGTAATTTCTGGAGAGAATAATAATTATTAGGTTGATAATCAATGAATGATAATATATTGTGAAAGGAAAATAATAAGGAATAAAAATCTCGATGAAATAATTAGTATAAGTGAAGTAATTGTTGGCAATTTGAAAATCTAAACATGGAAACAATTAACTAATAATTACAAGTTATTCAAGGTTTTATTGGATAATTATGTTATTATTATGACTAATTAAGTTATGAAGACTATGATTATAATCATGAAAGGCCTTGATTGTTTCAACAATTAAGGCTGATTGAATTGAATGTAGCGTGAATAACATTGACTGACATTGATTGGTATCATTTGATCAGACCAATTTCATTATGATTTAATGTTGTTGATTTTTTTTTCTATCTCTTTTTGCCTGATTGGTTAAACAATACACTAACAATTTGATTATTGGGATGATGACAACAACTGAATCAGAAAAGTGAATGATTAACATGAATGAGAGTCAAAAAAAACGATAGAGAGAAATAAATTCATTCCTTTAAGATGATTCTGATAATTGATCAATTTCCTGCTAATGATTTCTGATGATAATTTCCAGTAATTTGATATGAGTATTAAATGATAATAATAATAATACTTTTCCTAATTTGCTGGAAACGGAATCGGTTGACAAGCGTGTAAAAAGATGAGGATGAAAAAAACAAAGTAAAAATGTGATTCAATGATTTATCATCATCATCATCATTGTCATCACAGTAATAACAATATCGTCATAATCATTACGGTAACATAATCATCATCACTTTTATGGTTAGCATTACATGATGATGATGAAGGTATTTGTATAAATTTCATGTAATTTAATGAATTTTTTTTAAATATTCACAATTAATCAGAAAAGTATATAACCTTGATTAATAATTTTTATCAATTATTTTGGTTAAATAATCAACCTGATTGTTATTATTTTTGCAACATTAACATTTTCAAGATGATAATAGTTTTTGATTGATGATAATAGTATTGTTATCGTCATCACCCTCTCATCCTTATTAATAATAATAATAATAATTATATACTGATGACGAGATGATAACAATAACAATCAAAAACACCAGTATAATGTTCATGTAAGAAAAGTGTATTGATAATCAAGACAATGAAGGTTACATGATAAATACTTATAACAAAAATAATAATAATAATAAAGACATAAAGTGTTCATTCAGGGAATGATATTCAACTACAGTTATATAACTGGGAGTGAATATTATCATTATATACTCATCAGCTTTTCACAATTTAACAGTTAGTTAAATGTTGAGTAATTAAGAGTAGGAGGCTTCTCAAGATAATAATAATTTCCCTTAATTTTTCAATGATATTCATAACATAGTTAACTCATTAAGAGGATCTCTCTCTCTCTCTCTCTCTCTCTCTTCTTGATAATGATCATATAATTCAGAGCAATAATAATAATCTCATAATTATAAGATGCTTTTATTATTTACTTGTAATTATTAAACAATGAGATGAAATTGATGTAAAATTAAACCTTTTTTCTCAGTAATTTAAATAGATATTAATTACTCCTAATTGATCAACTCAATGATTGGGGTTACCTTATAAAGATCAATTGAATTTACTACCTATGTTGGTAATTAACTTTCTAAGGAGAAAAAGGGATAAAAAAGGTTTAGTTTTCCAATGTTGGATTAACTGTTTATTGATAATCCTTCAATAAAATGATTTATCTTTTTTTCTTACACCCATTAAAAGATTTGATTTGACTTGATTAAAGATTAAGAGTTGATTAGATTCTTTTTCTTTCTTATTTCCAGAGTTCAATTAAATATATTGATATAATAATTCTGCTGATGTAAGTTCTGATATACGCTTCTCCTTCCCCTAAAGACGTTGATGACGCTACACTATTAATGATTAACAAATAACTGATGACGGTGGTGATGAGGATGAGGATAAACTAATAAATGGGTGATGATTGATTGTAAATAAATAAATAAATGTTAAGAGTGAAGAGAGTGAGTGACTGAGAGAGAGAGAAAAGTATGAAAAAAACTAGTTATGTCAACAACGAAAGGAATCAAAATAAAGGGAAAAAAGGATGAAGATGGAGAAGATGAACTTACCATGGCGACATCATCTATTCGTGATATACTTCGAACAAATATATTAACTCGAACTATTGCTGGTCCATCTAGAAGAGATAGAGAAGATGGAAAGAAGAGAAAAAGATTGATTAATGTTGGAGAATAGTGTTGGAAGAATTAAGAATCGTACCCAAAGTAAACGAAGATAAGATGAAGATGGAGATTGAGAAGGAGGAAGGATGAGGATAAGGATAAGGATGCTGATGATGTTATTGTAATTGCTGTTCCTAATACTACAAATGATGGGTGGTGGTAGTGTGATGGTGATGACAACGATCAAGAACAGGGAGAGAGACAAGAATGAAGAAAAAAAAAGAAGTCAAGAAACTAATGTTTGTTGTTAGGCTAATTTTGTTGAAACAATCAGTAAATTGTAGTCTCTTTTATTTTTTACAGCTCAATGATTAACAATTTGTAATATTTGTTCAGTCAATTTGCAGAATCTGTTTCATTTTCTACTATTATCATTGTCAAATAAGTAGAACGATATTCAACTTTGGCTCTTCCCTCTTCTCACCCTAATCTTCATTTGTTTGATCATCAACCCTGATCATCTTCATCTTCATCTTCATCTCTCAGTTTTCCTCTCATTCTCTGGTTATAATCATCTTCTTATCAACTGATTTTCTGGTAAATGCTGACGTTGCTGACGACTCTTGAGATTCATTGTCAGGATTGAGAATGAGGATCAACATGAACAACATCATTGCTGAAATGCTGACAGTTGAAGCTTAAAAAGAGAGAGAGAGACTTTACCCACTCTTCCTCTTTTTATACTTTCTTTTTGTTATATTCTCTGTCTCTTTCTCCTTCTCTTCATCTTCTTATCATCTTCATCCTCATCCTTCCTCTATTCATTTTCCTTCAACTCCGTTTTCTCCTTCAACAACTCCCTTATTCTAGAGTGATAATAATAAATTGATAATAAATTGAAAGGGATAAAAATGAAAGAGAAGATAACTTTTTTTCTCTTTCCATCATACCAATATTTTTCTCTCTCTCTCTCTTTACACAGAATATTTATCATTATATTCAATTTTAAGCACATCATTCAAACTAATCAAAAACCATGTTCTTTTCTATCCTGATCATTTCTCTTTCATAATATACTTTTCACCTTTTTCCTCTTCACACAACATACGCGACACTTTCAATCAAGAATAATTTACATAATAGTAACATAGACACACCATCAGGATAAGTATTATTAACAGTAATTAATTAGAATAGAACAACAAAACAAAAAAAAACAATCAAAATACAGAAAAGAACAAAAAAAGAAAACAAATCACTTACCCTTTCCATCTGTTGAATTTACTCCTGAAGGTCTTATACGTCTATCATATCTCCCATCGCCAATAATTGTATCTAATATCACTTTCTCCTGAGCACGAAAATTTGCCGTAGACCTGAAGTAAAAACAAAAAGAAAATCCATTAATTAATTGAAGAGAAAATTAAAATTCAATTAGAGGAACAAAAAGAATCACAATTAACAATTTGAAAAGAAAAACGAATTTTTTTTTCTTTCTGGTTAACTGAAGGGGTTGCATTCTAATTGAAATCTGCTAATCGGGTTAATTTTTTTTTTCTTTTCTCTTTCACTTTTGTTTACATTCTCGTTGATTAATTTCTCAAGTGGACATTGACTTGGATCAGTTTATTTCCTTTTCCTTTATATTTTTTATATTCGTTCGAATAGAAGACAAATTTATTAATTACTGATCAAGATTCAATCTGATTGTACATGGTTGATGGTAAAAGAAAAGCGAAACAATCAATCAATTGAAATTATCTTGAGAATCAAAAGTAGACCAAGTTAATCATGTTTTCTATTGTTTTTTCTTCTTCTTCTTCTTCAGCTACATAATCATTTCTTTTTGATTAATCAATGGTGACAATTTAACCTTCCCTCGATTGGTAAAAGATGATTACAATTGTTGGGTAAGTAAATGATTTGATTAATGACTTTACATGAAAATGAAACAATTTTACAAATTATTTTTTTCTCTTACCTCAATCTCTCTATAGGTAACATGATGTAAACACTTGATTGGATTTGTAATATTATAAGTAAACATGGAAACATTTTCTCAGCATAAGGTTAACCATTTTCTCTGTTTTATTTAATATCATCATCATCAAGGTTAATTTAACAACCGTTTAACTAAATGTGAACAAAATTAATCATCAACCATTTAGGAGATGATTTAATTTCCATCATTTCTGCGACTTCGTTACCTTTATATCTACGCATTGATTTGCTCAATTTCCTTTGTTTCGCTCATTCTTTTTCTAGAAATTTCTTCTTTAACCTTTCACTTATGTATATCGATAATCTAACACGTTGACTTATATTTTCTATTTATCTCTTAGGTTTAATTGGACCAATTTAATGAACAATTTCACATCCTCCGTTGGAATATGTACATAAATACATTCATCTTCATTCTGTGACCTCTGTCACCTTTTTCTTCCTCCTGTCAAACCTCATCTTCATTATCATTTTCACCTTTAACCATCTTCTTTTTTCTACCATTAACCTGAACTGTAAGTTTATTTTTTCTACTTGTTTTTCCATCTCTATGTTTAACCTTAATCAATCATTTTCTCCCATGTTACATGATTCTCTTCTTCCCCTGTATTCCAAAAACACACCCATGAATTAAGATCTCTTTATTTTTTATTTCTTCCAGTGCCTACATTAAAAATCTGTGATGATCAGATCAATTGAGAACAGGAAAGAAAAGTAAACTTGATTTAATTGTTCTGAATGACCAATTCCCCATTTTCACTGCGTATAAATTTCTCTTGCTCTTCTGAAAACAGAGTAACAATTGGACTACACACTGGAATATAAGTTTGATGAAATAGGAGAAAGAAACTGTTGAAATCATGGTAACAGCATGGTAACCAGACCATGAACATTGCCTCAAATCAATCAATTGACTTAAACTTTAATGATTAACTTGTACACATATAACTCATGTACGGTGAGAAGATTGAAGTTACTATTGGTTACCTTGTTCATTTTTTTTTTCTTCTCTTCTTCCAGGTCTTTGGCTAAGGTCTGGTGATTCAACTGACCAGAGCACAAACACACATAACATATACAGCGAGATAGAGAGAGAGAGAGTGAGAGAGAGAGTAAAATACACAAAATATCATGGATATCAATTGGTTCATTTTCTATTCTTTTCTGTTTTTCTCCTTCGTTATAATGGAATAGTAAATAATTAGCTTTGAATAAATTAAATGGTTGAGTAAATGTGAACATGGAATAGTTCACATTCACCTCATCAACTGAATCAACTTGCCAAAAAAACGAGGAAATCAAATGCAACGAGAAATAATCAAATCTAATCAGGAAAATATTCATCACACCAAGATTATGATTTAATATCTTCAATCTCAACATGATAACAATACATCACATTGATTCAATGCTGATGATGATTCTTGATTCCCCTCTCTCTCTCTCTTCATATTGATTATTAATCAATTGATTAACAAGTTGATTCCAACGGAGGGAAAGCCAAAAATTCAATTGGATTTAATTGTTATCACTTATCCTGGTTTCTCATGTATCTATTAATGTATACATATTACATTTACAAAGACTCAATATTATTAATCGTTTTAAAGGTAATTTTTGTACTATCATTATATTAGGTAAGCTACTTTATTAATTTCATCTCCTCCTCTACTATTAACAATTTAATTATATTATCCAATATTAATAACAATTATAAATTAATGTATAACCAAATTATGATCAGGCAAAGATATTGTAACAATATGAGCTTAAAAATATATAATATCCTAATAATATAATCCTTATCTGATTAGATTTAGTAACAAGATGATGATGAAAAAATTGAACAGATTAATGATTAGGTTGATGATGATGATGATGATTTTTGAAAGATGAAGATGGATGAGAAATATGAAAAGGTATTGAAACTATTTCTCTCTATGTAATAATACAATTAGGGTAACAATTAATTTGATTCCAGTTAATTTGATTAAAAGCAATGTTAATAATTCTACTGGTATGATTAATGATAATCAAATTTTGCTTCATTTTCTGTTTGGTTTAATATTGAAATTTAAAGGTTAATCTGATTGTTGAAATGTTTAAATTGTGACAAATGATTTTTCTTGATTTTTGTTTATGTAAAAATTAAATTATCATATCAACAATTATCTTGACAGTTAAATCTAATCAATATTAATCTTTGTGTGTATCCTCTTAATTATGAATATGATTTATACGCATTGATAAGCACAATTGTCATCAAGGTAAAATAATTAAAACTTTTTCTTTCCTTAATTAGTAACAATTAACCGCAACTATTGTAAATTAATAGTTACGATTATCTTAATTGTGATATCAAATTGTTGGTGAAAAGTTGAAGTGAAATTGTTTTCTAATCGGAAACTCAATGAAAATGATTACAGAATTAGTATATTGGTTAATTGTTATTAATCATTAATTATCTTGAACTTAAATGACTGAAATTTGCAATTAATGAACGTTGATTTTCAGCAATTTAATCTTAACAATTAACTGATTTTTTTTTCATAATTTTCGTTTGAATATTTATCAGATATTATTAATAGTTAATCAGTTAACCATTGAGCTTTTAATGATTATTATAATCATCTTAACCTTTTGTTTTAATTTGTATCAACAATTAACATTTAAACTTGATAATTATCAGTAGTGTTACTTGTTAATTGTTTTACAATGTTAATTAATTGCGATCGGTTTTTAAGATTATATCGTTTATCTTAATAATCTTTAAGTAATTTTCATTGCGTTGAATTAATTGTTATCATCAATTAGTTAATACGATTAATTTTTATACTGTTAAGTTTGATTAGCAATTAATTGTGTATATGATACTTGGAAAATGTAATACGAATCAATGATTTTCCTTGCATGATGTTGATAATAATAATGATGAAGAAGATGATGATGATACTAATAAACATTAGCCTGATGGTTGAACTTTATTAATGAACTTTATCCAGAATCAGATGACGAAAGAGAGATGAGAATTGTTAGTCACGTAAATGAATTATTTGATTTAAACATGGGAGAGATTTTATTTTCTCTCCCTGATAAATTCTGATTCCAATGAGAACTCAGGGAAAATGTTGTTTCTCTCCTATCATTTTCCTGTTTTCTTCTTCCTCATCTCTTTCTCCTCTTATTTATCATCCTTTTCCTTCCTGATTTCTCTCTCTATCACTCTTTTTAACCCTCTTTCTCTCTCTGTCTGTAATATCATCATCTTAAGATTTTCTTAAGAAAAAAGATGAGGATGGAGATAAAAAATCTATCGAAGCAAATAGTTTCCATCGGAAGTCAACATTATCCTATTCAATTGAACTATTATCATGATTATTATTATTATTATTACGATTCTCTCATTATTAATGCCAAAGTGAGAGAGTTAAGGGTGAGCTTGAATCGTAGGGTTGACAGTTAAACTCGGGAATGATTCTTGATTATATTTTATGACAATTTCCGGGTCATTTTACATGGTTCAATATCATTCCTATTCATTGATATCAACACACAACAACAACAACACTTGACAACACACAATTTATCAATCCGATTCCCGATCATTATTACATAATAATCTTGATCAGTATCAAATGTTAACATTATAATTTTGATATACATATAACATATATACTATTTTTTTTACCCCTGATAAACTCTGGAAATTCAATCAGAATTATCATGATTCCAAGTTGATTTTTCATCTTTTTCAATGTTCTCTTATTGTTATTACAGTTTTTTTCTGTTCACACTCTTTTGGAGTTAATATTTTGGGACACAAAGAAGATGATGATAAACCTGAAAATCGCCATCATTCAATGACCAAGAAGAGAGGAGAAGAGGGTAAAAATGGAGACCAGAAAGAAGGAGGAGAAAGATGAAAGAGTTGCTCATGATGATGATGATGATGATGAAGAGCAGGATGAGGAAGCAAAATATAAAATGAAATAAAATAATGATGAAATCCATTCAAGTGGAATTGTTTGAAGGCCTTTATATCAATTGCCTTTTCAACAAACAACAAGAAGCAAGAAGATGATGAAGACTAAGAAGATGAAGGGATGATACAGAAAGAGAAAAGAAGATAAAGACAGAGACAAAGTTTTCTTTCTTTATTATTATTCCTTTTCACTTTCTACCTCATCTTCCTTCATCATCATCATCATTTTCATTTTCTTTCTCTTTATTATTACTATTGCTCTCCAATGCACTTGAATACAGAAAGAACTGGTCAACGGATTTTCTTATTATTATTAAAGCTGGTTATCCCTTTTTTGTATATGTGATTCTGTGCTTCATCATCATCATCTTCTTCCTCATCTTCTTCATCTTCAGCATTCTCGATTCTCTATTTCATTTTCTATTCGCTTTCAACTTTGAGCCGAGAAAAAAAGGAAATGCTCAATCAATAATTTTCTCTTGTTCATCTTTTCTCTTCCTTCCAAATCTCACCGATCGTCACAACTTTTTGTTTATTTCTTTCTCTTTTTTCCTCATCTTCTCCTTCTGCTTTTCATCTCTCTCTCTCCCTCTCTCTCTCTTGCTTCGTGATCTTCGAAAAATCTTAGCACTGATCGATATATAAGATAAGATCGATAAGTTGAGTCCTTTTTCCCTTCTTTCTTTTTCCATCATTTCTCTGCTCTTTCTTCATCTAGTTTTTGTCTTTGTTTTCCATCCTCTTCTCCTTCATCATTCTTATCCTCATCTTAACCTTTTATCATCATTTTCTCTTCTTCATCTCTCTCCCTCCATCTATTTAGAAGGTAACAGTTTCAAGCCTCTTTATCCACGTTCTTAACGGGTAACCCTTATATTCATCTTCATCATCACCATGAAGATCAATCTTATTCAATCAAATTGAATTAATTGATTCCAACTTTTTTCTCCCTTTTCTTTCTCACTCATTAATGTTTTCCGAAACATTTTATCATCAACTTATATATTAGAAAAGATATTCTTTCGTTAATAATAATGATAATCATGGAGAGAAAGAAAAGAGTTGGAATCAGACAAAAAAATTTTCTCTCTACAAGTTATATTATTGAATAGAACTTTTATTTTAAGAACTTTATTCGTAATAATGATAATAATAAGATCCAAGTAGAATGCTATATAAATAAGAAAATTTATCTTTCTCTAAATTAACTTCATTCTAATAACTGAAACTGTTTAGTATTTTTTTGTCACGATTCTTTACCTTACCCAAACTCCATCGTCTCCCTTGTATCAACTCTCTCTCTCTCTCTCTCTCTCTCTCTCTCTCTCTCTCTCTCTCTCCTCTTCCTCATTATCATGCAATCATATGCAGAACTAATAAACTGTATTCAACTAATGATTATCGATAAACGGAGAGAGAGAGAGAGAGAGAGAGAGAGAGAGAGAGAGAGAGAGAGAGAGTGAGTGGAAGTGAGGGAGAAATAGTTCCTGTGATAGAAACTCAATCATGATAATGATTCATATTAACTAGTAACTTCCCAATACTTTTTATTTTTACTTATCTTTAAACATTCCTATTATCTCATTTCCTTGCATCCTCATCTTGATATTTTTCTTATAACCTCTCGACCTTATCATCAATTTCTCTCATCATCATCTCTTCCGCATCTCTCTCTCTCTCTCTCATTCATTCCATGTGTCTTGTTAGATTATCAAAGTCTCAGTCATCAGAAAATATCATTGGTAAAGCAAATCAATTAAGACTCTGGTACATAAGATGAAACTGAAAAGATGAAGATGATGATAAAGAAAAGGATGATGAAAATATCTGTATATAACATGGTTAAAATAAGTGCTGACTCTCAAGGGTATTTATATTGATAGAAGCAAATAGGACAAATGATATAGTCCCTTGTTAGTTAGTATTAATATATATACATAACATACAAAATAATATAATTCCCATTCCCATGTATCGATCCAGAATTTTCAGAACAGGAATAGGAATCTACTAATAGTAATAATAACAAATACTAATAATTTGGTTATGCTTAAGGAAGACGAAGCAAAAAAAAAACAATATTAAATCCAAAGAATTGGAAAAGTCATTAAAATAAAAGAAGAAAAAAAAACTTATATAACAAACTATTTACTAAATATGATAAGATAATCATCTCATTGATTACGATTAACAATCAACAATTGTAATTGGCAATTAACAAATTTGTTTCTAACATTTTGAAGTTAACCAAGGAAAATGTTGCGATTTTGTTGGTTAAAATTGAATTTTTTCTCGATTTTCGTGATTTTGATTAACACAATTAGACGATGATTACGTTGACTATTTTATAAATTGTTGCATCGATTATTTAATAACAAACCTTGACCATTTCATCTTGACCATTAATGTTTTTCATCGTCAATTACATGTCACTGATTTACTTAATTCTCTCTGGGGTATTTTTTATTTCATTTTCTTTGCTTATCCTCATGTTATCCTGATCTTCATGATGATGATCATCTTTATCCTCATGATGATGATGATGATGATTATCATCATCTCCACCCTGTTATCAATCTTGATTACATTGCAATTGATTGAAAAATCTGTTTACATTGACGTTTCTCTGATCTTTTCTCAGATGATTTTTTGGAAACTGTTTAAATTGTTTACACTCAAAGTAATTGTAGTTTGACAGTTAACTGATTGATTGGTTAAAATTTAAGTAATCAAGTATAAAATGTATTTAAGGAGCATAACAACAATCAACTAATTGTTACACATTTTACTTACTATAACTGGTTTAACTGTAAATTGTAAAATTATGTGATGACATTGACTCAACAATGTTCAACAATTAATTGATTGCTATCCATCAATAGTAACCTTAATAATAATCAAATTATCATTTAATCAACTGAAATTATCTCTCAAATTTTAATTCTTAATACAATTAACTTTTTTTTTCCTCATGGAAACATTTAATTGTTGTAACAATTTTTAATTGAATTTAATTTTGAAGGACAAACTTTTTTCATGTTATATATTTTTCATTGATTAATCATTACAATTGATATTGGAAAATGTTGACAATTAAACTCAATAATGATGACGATGGAATTGAATTTATTGATTGATTTATTATTTATGGTTATTCATTGAATATTGTCATCAATTGGTAATTTTAAATTGTTAACCGTTATGATTTTGATGATCGGTTTACTAATCAGTAATCTGAATTACATGATGAGATGAGTGATTGAAATTGAATGTTA